AAAAGGGCTGCTGCTTGGGCTTGGGGCGCCTTTGGCGCTCCTGCGTCCGGGCTACGGAGCGTGAGGGTGGTCTGGGATGGCTCTTTCTGATCGGGTGCCCGTGGCGCCTTCTCCCATGGAGTCTGAGCAGGGGGAGCATCATGTGTGTAGCTCACGTGGAGTGGCACACCCACCTCAAAGAAACAAAGATAATTGTAACAATAGTTAATGACTGGGCCCAAGCATGAGCAGAATAATTTTGAACAGTGCAGCTTTATGCTACCTTCAGGAAAGTGAGATATCAAGGCATCATCCATAAAATTTCAACCTCATGGCCTTTACTGTGTAAACCAGAGATCTCAGCAAAGAGCAAAAGTCCCAGATCCTATAAATTACATCTCTATATAAACCTATCTACTGATACATAGGATTAGTAGGTTTTCAACACAGTATTACAAAGAACAAATCCTAGTTCTTAAGCAAATCCTAATGAGCGAAATGAGTGGGGGTGTCATGGAATCGCCAACCTCATGACATTGACGCCAACACGGAAACGATGACGTTGAGGAAATAAATATATCAAATCCAATTAAAACAAACATGATCAGCTCTTTACTGTCGTAATCTGTGGGATGTGTTTGTTTTCGGTGATGTATGTGGCCTCAACGAACCTGTGGCGCCTCAATAGCAGTATCTCGCCTTTATCTAGAAATAGTGTCTGCTTGTCCATGAAGTCTAAACTCTGCATTAATTACTGACTAACATAGACCCCTCAAACTATGGAAACAATTTCTGCATTCGATTATTGAATTCTTTGGTGCTGTGGTGCCGTTGTTCTGTCGTCCCCGTCTTGTGCCGGGACCGCCGGCAGCACCGATGTTGACACTGTGGGGTGGTCGCTCCCTGTCGAGATGTCACCCAATGGAGGGATTTCTTTATTTGAACGGGTCCATTTGTCAAGGGGATAAAAATGAGAGNATATCTCAATTTTGTAATTTATCATTGTTTATTAAACTCTGAAATCTGTGTGGCTTTAATATTCTGTCCTAGAATGCGGTGAGATGGGCCCTTTTTTGCACGGCCCTGGTTTCCACCATCCTGGCCCCAGGAGACGTCGTGTCCTCTGCCTCCAGCCTCCACTCAGCAATCTGTCCATTTGGCATCTGCAGCAGTAAGATCTACGCTCTTCAAGACTCGACGTTCTCTCATTCCCACTCACTTCTCCCTCCTTCCCAGTGAACTTCCAGTCCCATGTCTCCAGTTTCCAGGATCAAGAACCCAACAAGAATCATTCTTTTCAATAAACCTTTTACATCTAATTATTCTCCTGAGACCATTTGTGAGTCAGACATCTGAATGAAACCATGACATTCATACTCTTAATCCAGAATTATCTCGGTGTATATCTTTCTCTAGCCCATCCATTTACTTTTCTTTTTTTTTTTTTTAACTGGCAACTAATTTTGGAGCTTAAGTTTTATTGTTTGTATTTGACTATTTAGCCTTCGTATGTCATCCTTTTCTGCTCACCGATTCCAGCTGTTTGTCACTTTCTTGATTGCCCCTGTGTGTATTTATGCATCGTTGTTTCCCTGACGTATCCTTGCATCTTCCCCTGTCCCTATGAATTATGCATTTTGGGTTGCCATAACACAGAATGACCTAAAACAGTGGTGACCAAAGTGGGTCCTGAAGGGTCAGCATCCTGCTTGTTTTAGTTTCTCCCTGGTGGTAGGAACTTCCTCCTCAGCAGGTCAATGTTCTACCAATGAGCATCATTGGATCCAGGTACATTAAACCAGGGAGAACTAAAACATGCAGGATGCCGGGCCTTCAGTTCCCACTTTGGGCTCCACTGACCTAAAGGATAAAAACTACACAGATGTCAGAAAATGCACCTTGAATTGCTTTGACTAATCGAGAGACAGAGAGCTGTGCATCCAAACACAGATCATCTTCTGCAGTTGTTTTCCTGACTTATTTCCATAATGAGAAGCTGAGAGAAAATGTATTTGATACTTGGATATCAAATACTTTACTCAGATATTCTGAGTCATTGCTACTGACGGCTAAAGGAAACAAAACTCAAATAACGAAGCCTACACAGTGGAAAGAAGCATTAATGGTGAAATTAAGACCATAGACATTGACATTAATCATAAAACTAGAATTAAAATGCAGTTTTGCATGCGATTGCACTGATGGGTTCTGTTTGCAGTGAAATACAGAGAATGATGCAGGTGACCATGTATTTATTTGATTCTATGCAGGTTCAAAACATGAGTCAATCCATTGAGGTTCTGGACCAACGGACACAGAGGGACATGCAGTTTGTTGAGAGGATGGAGGTGCAGCTGAAAAGTCTTGAAAACAAATTCAAACAAGTTGAGGAGGGCCATGAGAGCAACATTGCCAGGCAGTACAAGGTACCAACACACCAGCTTGTCAATGACTAACCAGTGAAGAGGCCTTAAGTTTGAAATCACAACAATTAATTGATGGCTTGTATCATGAAATGAAATGTTAACATTTTGATAAATTCAATCACAGATCAAGCTGATCTGAACTTCTGGCTCACTGCATGATTTTGCCTGTTCTTACTTGTAAAGATTAGATGTAAATCAAAGGTTTTTACCAGGACTTCACTGAATCTTCTAAATCAATCATCTGAATCAGACGTGATGATTCAGCCGGGACGACCAGAGAAGCAGCAGCAGCAGCAGCAGCACACGCTAATGCTAACCTTGACCCAGAGGAACTGCTCGTCTTATTCTCTCTGACACCGTATGTGGTGCATATATATGTGTAGCATGGTACTTTGTGGTTTTTATGTATGTGTCTATTTTATTTTAGTGTTTCTACTATTCACTGTTTGACTGTTGCTGCTATTGAATATGTAAATTTCCCTCTTTGGGATAAGTAAAGTATTTATCAATCTATTGGTTTGTAAACACAGCAGATGCGTGCAACTTGACTGCGGAAAGAGCCGTGGAGGCCACTGGTTGCCATGGTTACCTGCATTAATCTCACTCTTTGAGCATTAGCTAGCATGTTGTCAATCAGTGTGCTACAACTTTATCACAGTGACAAAACGAGTTATTCTACCAAATGAATGTTAGTGAATGAGATGTGTGTTAATTTCCCATAAGGATTAAATACAGGTGAGTCGATAAATTATGAGAAAATGGCTCAAAAATGACTAACTACCATTATTAAAGCAATTTATTCACAGTAAGATCGTCAGCTCTCGGAGAGATATGCCGAGTCTAAGACAAATTACTGGTGAGCATTAAGGGCACCAGCATAGGATTTTCCTAAAAATGTATGTTTTTATATATCAATCAGATTGTATCTGTACAGCACATTTCAGCAGCAGGCATTTCAAAGAGCTTCACATCACAAAAACACAAAGTCATGCAGCAGAGAATCAACAATCAAAACGTCACATTAAGTCGATGCCGTCGTTAAATTCATAACTGATTATGTTTCAAATAAACTAACCAGGAGGGTTTTAGTCTGGATTTAAAGACACTCAGTGTTTCAGCTGTTTTACAGTTTTCTGGAAATTTGTTCCAAATTCGTGATGCATAGAAGCTGAATGCTGCTTCTCCTCGTTTGGTTCTGGTTCTGGATGCAGAGCAGAACCAGAACCTGAGGGGTCTGGAAGGTTGATACAACAACAACAGATCTATAATGTGTTGTGGTCCTAAACCGTCCAGTGATTTATAAACTAACAGTATTTTACAGTCTGTTCTCTGAGCTACAGGGAGCCGATGTAGTTATTATTAAACACACAGAGGCAACGGGACAGACTGAAGGCTGCAGGCGGCCAGAAAACCTGCTGCTGAGCTACAGCTGTAGGACTGTAGATCTGGTGTTATGTCTCCATCTTCCTGGTTCTAGTCAGAACTCCAGTGAGAATTCTTATATCAAAAAAGGGATTCAAATTTAACCTGTAAAGGACAAATTCAGTAAAATTTCTTCCTATTTTGTTCACAATTGGAGGAAAAATTGAGATTTAGCTGCATCTTTCAAGGCCGATGAGAAACTAAGCCTTCAGAAAGTAAAAATGCAGCAGGTTGATGCAGTGAGATATATGGAGACGGTGTGCTAAAAATAAAACCTCTGACAACAGCAGATGCCACAAAGCTTCACGCAGGAGTCGTGTCAGATGAAGAGAGACAATTGTAAATTATTTTATTAGCCTGACTGTAAAATTATTAATATAAAAAATATATTTGTGCCTTCGCTCTGAAGGCGACATGACTGTGATGCAACGTGACGTCGACTGATGATCCTTCTACTGATCAACCGATCTATATCATAAGTACATATAGGTCCAATGCCACAGAGTTCTTATGCAACTTTGATCAAATTCATTAATTATGAAAATACTTTTAAAAGTTCCTTTCATTTTTCTGTCTCAGTCCATTAAAGCCAAGATGGAGGAGCTGCGTCCTCTCATCCCGGTTCTGGAAGCCTATAAGGCAGATGCTCTGCTGGTCCGACAGTTTAAAGAGGAAGCAGCTAATGTGACGGAGCTGCTGGGATCACTGCAGGAACAACTGGGAGGACTGGACTACCAGGAGGTCCACAGCCGGGTCATGGACCTGGAGAACCGTCTGCGCGCCTGCATGCAGAGGCTTGGTGTGTAGACAAACGGGAACACTCTCAGTTCACTAGTGTTGTGAAACTTGGTCTCAAGACTATTTGGAAAGAAGTTGTGGGTCTGAAGGTGTGAGTTTCCCTAAATGTTGTGGCAGTAGTTCAACTTATTGGGTTACATTCACACAGCAGGGAAACGTCACCCAAATCTGCCTTTTTTGCTCATATAACCCACATCCAACATTTTCACCGCAGTTTGAGTGGCCCCAAAAAATCCAACCTGTTCCACTTCCAATATGTGTATCTAATAACATAAAAGTAAAAATAAATAAAATATCATATGTCCTTTCAGATGGCAGATGCTTTGAAAACTATTGATGAGACATTCATCATAATACTGTGCCAGAAAAAGCCAGATGTGATAAATCAGGATGTTAACACTGACTGAAAATTATGATTATATATTTATGAAAGATTTCTGACAGTAAAGCACATCCTGTTACAAGTGACTGTAAAACAATTAGTTTTTATTAACTTCCTTTGTGCTGTGATCTTTTGACGATACTGTTGACTCCCAGTAACAGAATCCGGTATCACTTTATTTGAAGGGGGTGAATAAGACAGTCATGACACTGTAATAAACATGACATAACTCCTGTCATGAACATGAATAAGCCTTCAGAAATATTTATGACTGTTGTCATAAAGCGTCATTCGGTAAATTATGACACTTTTAATACAAAGTTGACATTATTCAAAATGTCTGACAACTTGACATTAACCAAGAAATCATTACTGTTTAAACTTTACCTTTAATAACATAAAGTTACCTAATTTTTAAAGTGCAATCAGTAATACTTATATAACAAATTTATATCAATAATGATTTCTTGGTTAATGTCAAGTTGTCATAACAAAGACATTTTGAATAATGTCAACTTTCTCTTAAAAGTGTCATAATTTACCGAATTAAGCTGTATGACAACAGTCATAAATATTCATGAAGGCTTATTCATGTTCATGACAGGTTTTTATGACAGTGTCATGACAGTCTTATTCAACCCTCTTCAAATAAAGTGTTACCCAGAATCCTAACCCTAACCTGCTGAAAAAGGTGTAAAACTCTCCATCCATAATTATTTTCATAAACGGAGCACTGCTGTGTCACAGCAACGCTGTGGGGATGTGAAATGTTCACACAGAAGATTCATTGTGGTCAGGTTTAATTAGCAACATGAACAAGTATGCAAAGACAAATCTGAATTGAGCATTAAGACCTGCTGTGTGAATATAGCTTCAAGTCTGGAGCCCTTTTACAGATTAGCTGGCTAATGAGCTAGCAGGTGGGATGTCTCGTAATGTAAGGATCTGAAAATTCTTTCCCAATTAATTGTGGTTTTGGACTTGATTTCACCTCTCACAAAATCTTGGTCTCTGGTTAGGCAGTTTTTAGTACAACACTACAGATCACACTTTAGATCTTTTAAAAGTTGAGCTGTTGGCATTCAGCGTTACATTACCATAAGTTCACACAATTCCAGGATGTGGCTGAGACTTGCATGAGAGTGGCTTGTGGCAGTGACCATATCAGTATTTATATATCTATATTTTTATGACTAAAACTGAATAATTTATGTAGATATTCAGTTTAGATCTACCCTTTCCACTTTATCCCTTTAGTTTTGCCATGAATCTCTTTTCATTCACAAACATTTGGGCTTAGGGAATTCAACCTCAGCTCTCTACTCCTTGTTACAATAAACATCTGCCAGCACAGCTACTGATGGCTAACAGCTACTGATCTTAAGGCAGCAGTTTTTTTCACCCAAACAAAGAAAATGGATCCACAGAACTAACCGTGTTACAACATAATAATGTATAGAGATATAGCTACATATATATGCATATAATGATATCATGTCGTGACTACATTGTAACACGGTTGGTTCTGTGGATCCATGTTTTGTAAGTGAGCCGAGAGGTTTGCAAGTGAATTGAGCCAAGCAGAGACAAGGTGTCAGCGCAAGCACAAATGTTTGAGAAGCACAGCGAGTACTTGAAAGAAAGGAGAATTTTTCAGTATAAGCATTACACATTTTGAGAAGAAAGACATGAAGTCCTGCTTTCAAAGTGAAAATGTGTGCTGTCAAATTATGGCAGAAAAGTTCTTCCATACAGTTCCCTTCTAAGATTGTCATTTTGGGACCACAAAAATAACTTCTGTCTTCTGGAGACATTTCTGACCCATTCTCTCATAGTTTAGACACAGTAACCCAGTCACTGTAGTGGATGTTGGTCATGTGGGCAGAACAAAATAAAAGATCTTTATCAACAACATAAACATAGTAGATGCTATGTGAGATGGTTTAAGCTAATGGGGTCAAATAGCCTTGGTTCATTCTTTGCTTGGTTCAATGACTCACATGTATCCTCTGCATCTTATGCAAGATCTGAAAATGTTAATCAAAGTCTTCCTTGAAGACTTTGATTAACCTCAGATTCACTGAGGTTTGTGAATCTTTGAGTTTTTTCTTAATAATGTTGCCCACCTTAGGACCCACTGACCTTCCCATTTTTACTACATGCATGTTCTGCTGTCGTTGACCTCTGAGTCTGTTAGTTCATCTTTTTTGGATGACATATGAAGTCTTCTGGATCTCCCATCGATCCAGACCCACTTCATCTTTTTTAAAACCTTCAATACCTTGGCATTGTGTGTGTTAGAGATTCTAAATACCAGTTTGGAGATTAGGATTGTATCTGCAGCTTTAATCGTGCTGTCATGACACCACTGATCAAGAAGCAAGAAGCATAGTGTAGACTGCTCCATATGTGATCATTTTAGGCCACTCACTAAGCTCCCTGTTTTCTTTAAAATCTTGGAGAAATTGTGCATTGTCAACTGAAGTCATTCTTGGATGAAAACAGCATCCTTGAAGTGTATAGTCTGGGTTTAAAAACGGAGAACTTAACTCCCTTTTCAGGATCACTCCTGACAGAATATTGCTAATTCTGACAATATTCTGGAAAAGAAAAAACACATGGGACGTAAATGTCCTGGTCAAGAATAACACCGAGGTTCAATACCTTGAGGGGAAGCTGAAGGATCAAAAGATCTTTTAAATCTTAACCAGAATGTCAGACCAGGACTAAAGGTTAAAAGATAATTGCAAAGAAATGGTGAACATGCAAATGAAGCAATAATGTAAAACCACAACTGATTTCATTCAGTGGCATCAAAAGCCCTCTAATTTAAATAAACCTATATAATCATTTTAAAGTTAACATTCTGCTTGATTTTATCTCTTCCACATTTTATTGTGCCATGTCTTCATGTAGTTCTGTATTTTTACAGCTTGTGGGAAACTTACAGGAATATCAGAACCTATTACAATGAAAACATCTGGGTCCAGATTTGGTTCGTGGATGACCGACCCGTTGGCTTCAGTTGGAGACAACAGGGTAAGTGTCACAACTTTCAGAACAGAAACCACCAAAACAACAAAGGACATCTTGTCTTGCTTTGAATCTTTCAGCATTGGAAATGTGGATTTGAATTTTTGAATGAGCTTTATCTCAAAGGCCAGTTGTGAACAATTAATGTCCATTTTATTGTTCACAATACATTGGACAAGTGTATTAATTTCATCTCCTGTTGCTAATCTGAAAGACACTGAATAAAGTTGGCATAAATGTAAATATGGTGAGAGTAAAAAATAAAGTTCACACAGTTATCCAACCTACCAAAGCATTTTACTCAGGTTGAAGTCTATTCTTCACCAAACCCAGAATTGGTGTCCCTGGTCAATAATTAATGACGCTATTAAAGATAAACTAAACAGTTAAATTGCTTTTTCTGCCCACAGGTGTGGTACATGGATGGTTATCACAACAACCGCTTTGTCAGGGAGTACCAGTCAATGTATGACTTCATGACAACAGATAACTTCACGTCTCATCGCCTGCCTCATCCGTGGTCCGGTACTGGCCAAGTTGTTTATAATGGATCTATTTACTATAACAAGTTCCAGAGTCACACCATAATCAAATTTGACTTTAGCACGTCACTCATCAGCCGCTCCCGACAGCTTGACTTTGCTGGTTACAACAACATGTACCATTACTCATGGGGTGGGCACTCTGATATCGACCTCATGGTGGACGAGGGTGGGCTCTGGGCTGTTTATGCAACCAATCAAAATGCTGGCAACATTGTGCTGAGCAAATTAAATCCAAACACTCTTCAAATCATCCGCAGTTGGACCACCAACCACCCAAAGCGAAGTGCCGGTGAGGCCTTCATGATCTGTGGAACGTTGTATGTCACCAATGGCTACTCAGGAGGAACTAAGGTGTACTACGCCTTCTCTACCAACTCCTCCACCTACGAATACATTGACATTCCCCTGACCAACAAATACAGCCACTTGTCCATGCTCGATTACAATCCTAGAGACAGAGCACTTTATGCCTGGAACAACGGCCACCAAGTTCTGTATAATGTAACCCTTTATCATATAATACAGTGACTAGACATTGTTCCTCTGTCTCACAGTTTAATATGATTCTCACATAAGACTATACATTTCCTCTCACAATTTATTACTCCAAGACACCTGTAAGACAAAAGCAATTATTCAGATAATTTATGTGCTTCCAGGGTAAACAGGATCACTGACTGAAACTGTTAATCACAGCTGAAGAGAATCAGAAAACAGACTGTTCCTCGCTCAACCCCTGTCTGGACTACACAGAGTTTTAGAGGCGTTTCTTAGCATGGGGCACTACAATAAGATGTCGGCGTGTCAATCGTGAACAACTAAAAAACAGCACTCTTAGAACTATGAAACTCCAAAGTATTCCTGATTTTATAAGTTTTTAAAATTGTCACAACACTAAATATTGGATTAAGATGCATGTTGTGAATTTTACAAAGACCTTTATCTTTTCATTGATAAGTCATATAAACATTAAAGCTGGGCTGGAAATCATTAATCAAGCTCTTAAAAACATTTCTATTCTCAAAGACTGCTATAAAAAAAATTGAAGGAACCAAAACGTAATGAGTTTCTAGTTTAAGAAACTAACCATTTACTCCTGGTTTTTGTAATTCCCCAAGTCCAGACATTTTCTTGGTACTGAAAATATGGAACAAAGTACTGGACTGTTAACTTTTAGATGTTAAAATGTTATTTTATTGCTACAGATTTTAGGAAACGGACTGATTCCCCCACCCCTCCTCCGAAACAGTTCCTTTTAACCTTGACGTAAATTGCTTTCTAAATTACAACAAAGTGTTTGAATAAAATATATGTATTGTTTTGGGATTGTTTGTATTTTTTTTCAGAATGTATAACTTTAGGATACCAATTCAAAATGGAATTTTATGATTTTTTTAAATGTAACATATCAAACAGCAATAGCTATTGTTCTCTTTTGCAAAATAGTATTGGTAGAACTTTTTGTAGGAAAAGCAGAACTTTAAAGTCTGTAACTTTTCGTATGACTTTCTGTGCTAATATCAGCTTAGTTTGTGAAACATAATTTCTACTGAAATATAAACCCTTTTTTTGCTGAATAACAAAAACCCACATTTATTTAAATGATGGTAATATTCTATGGTGTGTTTCTCTTTTTTTTTACATACAAGTAGATTTTGTAATAGATTCAGAAAATGTAATTTATTTATTGGCTTGTGAAATCATTTTGTTTATTTTGATGTTCGGAGCCATGTAAAGAAATCCAAATGGATCAATTAATTATACACATGATTAGCCGTTTGACTCTCTTTATTCCATTGTTTTGTGTAGATTTTGTGTAAGCATTAATACAAGTCAAGAATCAACATGAACATTTTCACTGTTTTGTGTAGATTAAGGAAATAAAAGTGGGAACTGTGCAGATGTGTGGACTGAGGAGTTTCTGGAATTTGTGGCCTTTATTGTAAAATGATATGAGGGTAAAGATGACTAAGAAAGAAGGGAAGAACCTGCAAAAAATGACTGGAACTGAACCAAGAACTGCAAAATTCTTCACAAGCTCCACATGGTCTAACAAGTGATCCACCAAGCGAAATGGATGAAGGATTATTCCCACTACCGGTTCACAAAAATGTTCAGAATAGCTTTGCTAGAGGGCTAGTTAATCTTCCAGGGAAGTTTAAAAACTGAATTGTGGACAAGGAGCATACAGCAGTGGTAGCTGTTGAGGTGCAGCCATTTTGGGAGCCTTTTCCATATTCTTTCCTTTTCACAATCCCTTTCAACACTGTTGGACTCTGTTTCTCATAGAGACGTAAGTCATGACCCCTCCCGACCCCACTGAGGGACAAGGGTGTTCAGAAAATGGATGGATGGATGGACGTAAGTCATGTCAAGGCAGATTCCACCTGGGGGTTTTCTTATGAAATAGGTTCAGAGCAAAAGTACCTGTAAACAGAGTGCATAGACTTTAAGAAGTAGATGAACACAAATATAATCAGGTAATCACTCAAAATTTAAAATTCTTTGGTCAGCACAAAATCACTTGTAGGGTGATAAATCTTTCTGTAAAGCATTCATGCATGTTTTCTTCACATAGGGACTGAAGGACGTTGCAGGAAGAGCAGCTTTCCTGCAGGTGTTGACATATTTGAAATATGCCTTTAGGCATATTTAGTTGCAACTGCCCCATTCAAGTTTATGAATATGCTTCTTTGGTAGTTTACAAGCTTGTAGTTACAGACATGTAAATGTTCTAAGTTTGAAAAACATTGGTTAGCATTTTAAAGATGAGGATCAGCCTTCCATCAGGTTTCGGGTTGGGGATTCTTACAGTAGAACATCTGAGCCTGGAGATCCAGACTCACTCAGCTCTCCTGCACTGAGCTGTGAGCCAGGTGGGATAGTGTTGGTAGATTTTATCCATCCACGATCAATAAAATCTTGAAANAANTGTATCTCTCTTTTTGATTCTAAATGTTTTATCTATTGGGTGTAATGGATAGTGAGATATTTAAAATGTCTAAATTATTTAAATTTGTAGAATAAAGTAAATTATTCTAAGTGAATTTTCTAAATTAAGAATGTTGCATTTGTTTATGGATGTCTGTTTTGATTAGCATTGTTGGTGGTTTATATATATATATATTTTTAATGGTATTTGCACTTTGTAATGTTTTTGGAGGTTTTTTTATGTACCTCACGGGCTGCCATAGCTAATGAGGCTAGGCCCTATAAAAGCTAGTGGAATCATTGTGCCAATGAATGACTTGAACTCTCAAGATGTTTTTCGCAGAAAGAAATCAACACTTAGTGTTCCCCAGTGAAAGCAGTGAGGTATGTTTTCTTTTGTTGTTTGTATTGTACGTTTGTTTTGTATTATATTTTTATACGTTTTATTTTTCAGTCACTGAGGTAATTAATATGACTGATGATCATTGCTGATCTTCATGAAAGAAATAAAATGCCGAAATTCACCTGTTGAGACTAGCTGAGTAATTCAAGTGCTTGGAGCTGCTACATTGGGTGAAATGGGTCAGAATGTTGTTTCCCGTTTCACCCACATATTCAGTTTGGCAGGTTTTTCATCTAAACATGGGTTTTGATTTTGGGGTATCCAGACTCATCAATTTTGTAAACTGTTAAATTTCTTTTTAATCCCAGATAGTTGTTAGAAAAATTCACCCTGACCTTTGACCCTGGGTTCTTTTAACGGTTTAACCCAGGCATGGACCAAATAGTCTTTTAGGTTTTTATTCGTTCTGTAGACTGCAGTAATTCTGTAATTTGGTAACAGTGAGGTGTCTGATTGGAACTTTGTGAAATTGAGATTGATGTTGTAAATGAGCTGGTCTACAGAGGATGAAAATGTAATAAGAGGGAGAATAGGAGAGCTCTCTGGGGGTCTGGACTCGAGGAAAGAAGCTCTGCATCTCCTCAGGAAATCCTGGAGTTTTCCCTCAGAAGAAAGGTCTTGAAGAGGACTCCCTGAAATCTGCTGAGTAAATGTAGTGGAATATCAGAAATTGTGATTTAATTAGGCCTGCCTAGGTGTGTTTGGGTGATAACTAATTTTATAGAGGAGAGCATTTGTAGACAGTGGGCTCAAAATAGACTAACTCTAATTTATGTGTGGTTTTCAATTGTGAGCCTTCGTATGTGGTGGTGTCTAAAAAGGCTACAGCTTTAACTGTGGTGGTAGACTTGAGTGTTATGGATGAATTGTGTGTGTTCAGTTTGTGAGTGAAATCTTTAAAATCTTCCTCTGAGTGAGTCCAGACCCCAGATGCACAGATACAGGTGGGTATCTGTTCTACTTCAGATACTGATGTATCTGAAGCAGAACATGTTTTTTAATGCATTTCCTCAGTGCCTGTTTCCCATTGTGCCATGAAGATCTTTGCATATATGGGTGCAAACTACTTTCCCATGGCAGTGCCCTTAATCTTTAGGTAAAAAGTATTCCTCTTTAAATTGATTTGTAAAAGTTGGAGTAGCTCCTTATCTGGTCTACAATATTTATAGAAAATATTTTCAGTGTAGTTAATGCCCTCAGATATATCAATGTTTATATTGGTATAAACCAGACAATTAGTTTCCTCACTTGAAGTAACTCAAAATCTATAAGGGAAGTGGTCTATGGGAGGGACCCTGCATACCCACAGAGTTTGGTGGGCGTAGCTTATTTTCTTGACTTAGCTACCATTAATTCTCATTTATTTGAACAATTGCTTACTGGAAATAGCTAAAAAAGTATGTTATGGATTCTGTCTTTTATGTGCTTACACACACACTGCTGCTTCTTACATAACCATATGGCATAAGACTGACAGTCACACAAACAAGCTGAAACTAAATAATTATCTTTTAAGGAGGGAACAGAATGAGAAGAGTAAAAGAACTTGCTCTACAATCTTTGCTTCACTTAGTGTCACCCATAAGCTGAGCTATGTGACGCTCAGTGCTGGACAATCAATATCACTCAGTTTCTGTTCCATTTTGTATGACTTGCATAGTTTGTAACATTTGATCATTTTCAGCATTAAACCCTGCTTTATACTTAACCAGATCTCTATTTCTCAAGCTAGTGACACTGAGGGGTTCTTGTTGGGTCCTGAAACTATTAAACGGATCTGGCAGGTGCACAGAAAAGAAAATGAGTGAACTACAATAAGTGCTCACTTTACCAAAGTTGATATGTATACTCCCTCCAGCCCTCTGCAGCTCCCCACCATGTTCCTAGCACAGTCCTTTCATGCAGCTGCCATAGACTACCCTTTAATTTTTTTACCTAGTCAAAGTCTGGCTAGGAACTTCCTATCAAACTGGGACTTAACTATCCTCAGAGGCTTCTTACCTTAACTTAACCAGATTTGAATCCATTTGTATGTGTTTTTAAGCTCCATTTTTTTAAATAAATCAGCTCAGCTTTAAAAAATAATCTCTGAGTTTCTGTTGGATGAAGGACTTTTTCCTTGATGCTGCTCTGCTCACTTGGAATTGGCTTTAAAAGTCAAATTTTAAACTGACTAATCCTTTTACTTAATTTTTTTTTTATGAACTCAGCTCAGCTTTAAAATGTCCTCTGAACCTCAGTTGGATGATGGATTTTTTTTTAGCTTAATGCTGCTCTGAAGGTTTTAATTTGGTTTTAAAAGTCTGATATTTTAACTGTTTAATTTTGTTTCTTCAAACTCTGTTTTCAAGACAGAAATCTCAGCTCAGCTTTTAATTTTATCACTGAGTTTCTGGTAGGTGCCAGATATGTGTATTAACACCATTCTGAACATCAGAAATGGACTTTAAAATGTTTGTCAACATTACCCAGAATGCATTGCATGCTTGGGCTTCATATTTTAGCTTCTAGTTCAACTGTTTTTGCTGCAACACCTAACACACTATATACCATTGTCATCAGAATGAGCCCCTCTGTCAAACTAGATGGCTTAGAATGAATTTGGAAACATTGAGAAAGTTGGCACCATTAGTCAGAATGGGGTGTGCATTGTTGAACTGCTGTCTGCTGCAAGTTTGATTACAGAAGACTCCTGCTGGTAGCTTTGGGTAAGTCTTCTCACCTTATTAATGTGGTCATGCATCCTTCTTGGGACCACTTAAAACTGAGCATTCTAGGGGTCTTGCGGTGTATGATGGCACTAGAATGGCTTTCATTTTATTTCAGGGATCATGGTTTGAGTCCCAGCAAGTATCTGGAGACTTGGAAAGCAACAGCTTGTTGCAGCTGGACCAGATTCTCCTTCCTTGGTTGGCAACAACTTGCTATGGCTGCTTTTGCTCATCCTTCTTAAGGGCACTGTGGCATGGGAAGCATAACAACACGGTGGAGATCTGCTGGTGTGCAGTTTTGGTTAGGCTGAGTCAGCTCCCCATCAAGCAGGCTTCCGGTACTTGATGCACACCAGACCAGCGGAGAATCAACGGAGAACGCTTCTGCTTCCTGGGCATGCTAGTTCCACCTTGCGGTGTTAACGGATAGCGTGTTTTTGAAAC